TGCTAACTCTCTTTGTATGGTTGATTGGTAGCTACTTTAATCTGGTGCACACAAATATATATATGCCGCTTTGCTGTGTTGTGTTGTGTTTATATAGAGTGAGTAGGGGTAATAATGATATGATGATGCTCATGTTACAATCAGAAAAACTACTCTACGTGTAGTATAATATTTGAAAGACTCTCATGTAGGATCGTCTCACCGATCTTTATTCGTGAAACAGATTGAATAAAGATGAAAATATAATACTTAAAAGGAAAATAAGACATCTAAAACTTTAGACTGACGTACATTAAGTAAGGGAAACAAGGCACCTAGAATTTTAGATCAATACACATTAAGTTTCAACAACTAATGTTACTTTATTTCCTCATATAGGACATAGGCTCTTAATATTTCACTAGATTTAAATTTAGATTAAATAAAAACAATGACTAAATATTTAAATATGTGAACGTGGATGCTGCGCTGGACTAAAATCCCAATATTTTGATTTGGTTTCCTAATAAATTATTTTTCTTTATGGACTACACTGTTAACGTATATATTCTAACGAATATATTCTAACATATATTTAGCTTTGTATTTTTGGTTGATTATTATCCTCATTAATTGTCTTTGATTTTCTTTCCTTTTCTTTATCTTACAATTTGTATATATAGGAGTTCATCCTTTGTAATTGATTCAAGAGATATATACATACAATTCATACTATTTGTAACATGGTATCATAGCCTTTAATTTTTTTTCCTTCTGTTCTTGACACTGCCGACCGGAGCTCCCTGTCTTCAGCATACGTATTCGAAGCCGCGACCTGCAGTCTCCAGCGTACGGAGTCATCGAAAATCTTCTCTTTCTCCGTGAGTCTCCTTCCAATCCGTACTGATTCTCCGTTGTGCCATACTGATTCTCCGTTGTGCCGTACGTGATTCTCCTTCCGATTTGTGGAGTCCAACACGTTCCAGCAGAGTTCCGTGATTCTTTGCTGTTCAGTTCCAGAAGAGTGACGCCAAGGGGAGACCAAGAGAGGATAGAGGCTACAGAGTTTGTCCTCTCTGCCAACTTGTTATAATAATTTACTTTTCTGGTTATTATTTTTTCCTCTCCGGTTTATTGTTTGCTTGGAAAATTTGGTTTTTCGTCATCTCTCCGGTTTAAAGTTTGCTTGGAACAATTGTTCATTTTGTTTTATTTATTGATGATAATTCAAGATTTACATGGATATATTTTTTAAAGCATAGGTCAGAATTGCCTAAGACCTATATTGATTTTGCAACTATGATTAAAACCCAATTTTCTTATCCTATCAAAATTCTCCGTACGGATAATGCAATGGAGTATCGAGATTCAATCCTTTTCCAATTTCTGAAAACACAAGGAACCCTTGTCCAACGATCTTGTCCACATACCTCTCAACAAAATGGCCGAGCCGAGCGCAAACATCGACATATTTTAGATTCTGTTCGGGCTCAACTCCTTTCCACATCTTGTCCAGAAAAATTTTGGGGTGAAGCGGCTCTCACATCAGTTTATACCATTAATCGTCTTCCTACTCCTGTTTTAAAGAACTTGTCTCCTTTTGAAAAATTGTATGGTAAGACCCCAGATTATTCTACTCTTAGACCTTTTAGTTGTGCTTGCTTTGTTCTTCTTCCTCCTCACGAACATACCAAACTTGAACCTCGTACTCGTCTTTGTTGTTTCCTTGGGTATGGGATAGAGCACAAAGGCTATCGTTGTTGGGATCCTATTTCTGGTCGGCTACGTATTTCTCGTCATGTTACTTTTTGGGAACACAAAATGTTCTCTACTTTGTCCAAATTTCACGATTCTTTGTCTACTTCCCAACCCTTTTTACTGATTCTTCCAGAGACTTGTTCCCTACAGATTCTGGCACTTTATCTACACGTCTTCCTACAACCAAGTTAGTTTCTACAAACTCCTCTGCTAGTTTCCCTCCTGAATCTAACTCTGCACCTACAGTTGAGTTTTTCCCTACAGACTCCCCTAGTGAGGCTCCTTCTGACTTGTCATCTGCTCCTGTATCTACAGATTTGGCTTCCTCTGATGATCTTGTTCCTCCTCTTCGTCGCTCAACACGAGTAAGAGAAGTTCCTTTACACCTTAAAGATTATCATTGTTTTTCTACTATTCTCTCTTTACAAGAACCTAGTTCTTATCGAGAGGCTAGTACTAACCCTCTTTGGCAGCAAGCAATGTTGGAAGAACTTCAAGCCTTGGAGAAAACTCATACTTGGGACCTCGTAGAGCTCCCTTCAGGTAAAACTCCTATTGGATGTAAATGGATCTATAAGATCAAAACACGCTCAGACGGCTCTGTTGAACGTTATAAAGCCCGGTTGGTGGCTAAAGGCTATACTCAAGAGTATGGCATTGATTATGAGGAAACATTTGCTCTGGTTGCTCGTTTGACCTCTATTCGGAGTCTTTTGGCTATTGCTGCAGTTAAACGTTGGCCTCTTCTCCAGATGGATGTTAAGAACGCTTTTCTCAACGGCGATCTTGATGAAGAAGTTTATATGAAGCCCCCACCTGGATACTCTCATAATTCTCAACAAGTTTGTCTACTTCGGCGTGCGCTATATGGACTTAAACAAGCACCTCGTGCATGGTTTGCAAAATTCAGCTCCACGATTGCACGATTTGGTTTCACCTCTAGTCCTCACGATTCTGCCTTGTTTGTTCGCCATACTAACAAGGGTGTTGTTTTCTTGTTACTCTATGTAGATGATATGATTATTACATGTGATGATTCCAGGGCTATTTCTGATGTCCAACATTATCTTAATCAACACTTTGAAATGAAGAATTTGGGACCTCTTAGCTATTTTCTAGGTCTTGAAGTTTCTTCCACTTCTAATGGCTACTATTTATCTCAAGCTAAATATGCAGCTGATCTACTCTCACGGGCTGGTATAACAGATTCTAGTACTACATCTACACCAATGGACACAAATGTTAAATTAACACCTTTTGATGGCACAGCCCTTGCTGATCCTACACTATACAGGCAACTGGTTGGTAGCCTTGTTTATCTTACAGTAACTCGTCCGGATATTTCTTATGTTGTTCACGTAGTAAGTCAATTTATGGCAGCTCCTCGTACAATTCACTTTACTGCTGTGCTCCGTATCTTACGATATGTTAAAGGTACTCTTGTGCACGGTCTTCATTTTTCTGCTCACTCCTCATTAACCTTGTCTGCCTACTCTGATGCTGATTGGGCTGGAGACCCTACTGATCGTCGTTCAACGACTGGTTACTGTTTCTTCTTGGGCGACTCACTTATTTCATGGCGAAGTAAAAAGCAAACAGTCACTTCTCGGTCTAGCACTGAATCTGAATATCGGGCACTTGCTGATGCTACTTCTGAATTGATTTGGCTTAGATGGCTACTTGAAGATATGGGTATTAAACAATCCTCGCCTACTGTTCTTCATTGTGATAATCAGAGTGCAATTCAAATTGCCCATAATGATGTATTTCATGAACGGACCAAACACATCGAGACGGATTGTCATTTTATTCGCCAACATATTAAACATGGCACTGTGCAACTTACTTATGTTTCTTCCGAAGATCAATCAGCAGATATTTTTACTAAAGCTCATCTCCCTGGACGGTTTCAGTTTTTACTGCGCAAACTCAAGTTGACTTCTACTATCCCACCTTGAGTTTGAGGGGAGGTGTTAACGTATATATTCTAACGAATATATTCTAACATATATTTAGCTTTGTATTTTTGGTTGATTATTATCCTCATTAATTGTCTTTGATTTTCTTTCCTTTTCTTTATCTTACAATTTGTATATATAGGAGTTCATCCTTTGTAATTGATTCAAGAGATATATACATACAATTCATACTATTTGTAACATACACTACATATTGGCAGGCTTGTGGGGATGTGCTATATATTGTAACTTTATTAAAATTATAATTAAAACCGCTTGACGTGCTGCATCGAGAATTAAATATATAAATAAAAAATTGAAATCTCACAATCGTACACAAAAGTCAAAAGAGCACATGCAGGCACGCTAGTGGAGACAGGTGATGAACAACAACCGATACAATAAATTAATTAATTATATAAAATGTTGTATTTGAGCATTATTTAACACTTCTATCATGGATAAATATCTTTTTATAAAGTGTGAGAAAAATCTAGCAACTTTGGAGGGTCGTATACGCGTATTAATGATTCGGGACACAGTGAAAAAAAAAAAAGAGTTTTTTATTGTCCGGGACGAATTCAGAAAATTATTTGAGTAAAAGCGAAGATTAAATGACATTAGAAATGTCAATGACAAAATACCAAACAGTCATAATAATGTTTAAATACAAAACACATTATAAATTAAAATAAAATATTTTTGATAAATTACATGATAGTTAGGGTCGGAGCAAAAAATATGCATGAGTGGAGTGAAAATGTGAAAAAAGATAAAATAAATAAGGGAAGATAGGGAGAAGTGTTGCTTATGAGGTTTGGACCTATGACATAGACTTTTCAACATCCAATTTGGAGTTCAACCAACTAAACTACTTAAAATATTGTCAATTTTAACATAAGAATAGTATTTATATAACATTTAATGCTAAATATGTATATAAATACATACATATATATAGAGGGGTGGAGTGGGGGAGGGGGGCAGCTGCCGACCCCCATAGTGGCTCCGCCCCTGTTTACTGTATATGAAGTTAACACAAATTTTCATAACTACATTTTAAATTCAGTACTTAATACAAAATAATGTCTGATAATTTAAAATAAAATTTAAAAGTGTTTTTGATTTGTTAGATTTATTTAGATGAACGGTTGTGATGGGTTCATATTTCTCTCCTGGCCGCAAATACTCATTCGATCCGTTTATTATATATATGAACATGCATAATGGAGTATGTAATTTTATCGTAATTATACGTCGAAGAATAAAAGAAAGAATAATAGAATGGGAAGGAACACTGTAAAATACAAGAACTACATTCTCATTAATAAATAGAAATGGAAAACCCACATACAACTAACACTAAAATATGAAAAACTGGGATAACGACCATACATCTTATACTCCGTAATTATTATGAGTAGTATTTCATATTTAATTTTATTCAAACAAAATAAGTCTAGCTAATTGGATCAGACAATATAATATAATACTATAGTTTTGGCCTGGGTGTCAATCTCCCTGCTCCCATATATATATCATCTTCTTCACCCATGGTAATCCAAGCTTCAATCCCATCCCCACATTTGGTGCTCATCAATACAATGAGATTCTTCCAGAGCAAATTTGTTATGCACGCCCAAACAGGCCTTCCCCAACCGAAATCTACCTCGTATATTGGAAACCTGCACAAGCTAGTAAATTCTAAGAACTTAGCTTCCCCTTCGCCGCTGTAACATTCATGCAATTTTCGGAGATGTTCCGGACGCCCTTTCCCGTTCTGCAAAGCTTCTATGTATTCCGCGTTGATTTCCCTTATGGAAGTTCTCAGTTGAAACACCAGGTCGTCGTCGTCATCTGGGCTTGTTTCCGTAGTATATGCCAGACTCCATAGGTTCCCAAACGTCGTATCCGGGAGCGGCGGATTCATCCTCGCTCGGAGGTTCACGTTCTGGGTGGCCCGGAATGTTTTCTTCACGGAACCGTGTTGGAATTTTTTTCTGTTGGCCTCCCTGAAATTAGAGATGTCGTGTAGAAATTAGTCTTTTCTGACACATCTAGCTTCGAATTAGGTCATTCTTTCATAATCAAACGAGCTTTTATTTCACACCAAGTTTCTTTTCTAGTTGAGCTCATCTTAAGACACCTGTTATCTTTTAATATATGTGTCGCCCAGTCAAACTCTCCACCTGACAATGTCTTTTCCCGAATCGACCCACGAGTGAGCCTTGGGTCCAAAAAGAACCTCTAATTCACCGAATAAGTTAAATACGTTAAAAGTTGTGGTATTTCACTTTTGCCTGCCTTTCGGCTCTCACTTATCCTACAACTTCAAGTCATTTCACAAAGTTGGACTAGAGTCAAGCTCAATACCTGAAATGCTTCCACAGGAAGGCGGAGACGGCCTCCACGCGGGTGGGGTCTCCCACTCTCGATGACTCTGCCGCCGCAGATTTCTTTAGAGCTGCCAGGTTTTCTTTGTTGAACACGACGCGCCTGGTGACCACCTTTTCCCTCGTCGTCATGCCAAGGGTCGCTGAGAATTCAGACCCGGTTAAGTCCATCGTGGTTGGCGGGAAGAGAGGCCACACCAACCCGAAATTGGGCGGCGAGATCTCGGCGGCGTCTCCTTCACGGGCAATGAGAGCCCATGCATTGACAAAGTTGACCATAGAGAGTGCATCGGCGATCTTGTGCGACACGCAAACCCCGACCGCTATTCCGCCGTCAAGAAAATAATTTACTTGAACAGCAAGCATAAAATCACTATCATCACCTTTCTGAGGCTCTAGGGGAAGAAACTTTTCTATTTCCTCCATTAATGGATTTTCAACCACATCTTTGAGGAAGCCATGAACGCGAGCTTCAACCCATAGCGCGCCATCATCACTACAATCAATGAAATCGTTTCCTCTGACCCGTCCAGCTAAGGGATAAAACAGGGTCAAGACCTTCGATAAAGATTGCTTCAGCAGTTGTGATGAATCTGCAGAAGCATGATTGAAGAAAAAGACGAAAGGGGCTAAAAAGGGCGGCGAGGTTTGATCAATAAAGGATAGTTTGAGGGTTTTGAGGTGAGGTGGAGTTGGTGATGATGGCTTGATCATCATCATCTCTTTGGAAAGTAATTCCACTTTCAACACCATCCTCAAAACTATATATGTTAGTGCTAACTCTCTCTGTATGGTTGATTGGTAGCTACTTTAATTTGGTGCACAAACTTAATGTGTTGTGTTTATATAGAGTGGGTAGGGAGAGGTAATAATGTTATGATGATGCTAATGTTACAATCAGAAAAACTACTCTATGTATAATATAATACTTGAGAGTTGAGAGACTCTCAGAAAAACTACTATATGCTGGACTAAAATCCCAATATTCTGATTTTTCTTTAGGGACTACACTACATATTGGCAGGCTTGTGGGGGATGAGCTATATATTGTAACTTTATTAAAATTATAATTAAAACCGCTTGACGTGCTGCATCAAGAATTAAATATATAAATAAAAAATTGAAATCTCACAATCGTACACAAAAGTCAAAAGAACACATGCAGGCACGCTAGTGGAGACAGGTGATGAACAACAACCGATACAATTAGATTTAATTAATTAATTAATTATTTATTTATTTATTTATATAAAATGTTGTATTTGAGCATTTGTTGGTCCCCGTGGTCAGAAAGAGTCTAGAGGGGGTTGAATAGACTCTAATCAATTCTTTTCGAATAAACTCCTTTCAGAGATATACGCAGCGGAAATAGTATCTTATGTTAAGCTTTCTTTGCACGCTTTCGTGTTAGTAAAACTTTAGCGTTTGGTAGATGTTGTATGATATGCAACGCACGAAAGTAAGAGCGATAAGTAAAGAGAGATGGACAGAGAGATTTTTATAATGGTTCGGCCAATTGTGCCTACTCCACTCTTCTTTCACAACTCGTGAAAGGGCTTGCACTATCACTCCTAGTACAAACTACTTCAAGCTGGCTTCCTTGATCACTAAGCCGGACAGCCACTTGAAAGGTTTTTCAACTCCTAGAGTTTACTCCGCCTCTATCAACTTCTTCCTAAGCTGAGATGTTGGAAAGGTATTCTGATGATTCTCCAACAGGCTGAATCTTGTCGTGACGTCTGGATTGATCTTCACTTGAGAAAAGTACAAGACTGCTTCAAGTTGTGAAGTTTGAGGATGAATATGCCTTTGAAAAACTTCACAACAAACACTGGTTATGAAAAGCTAAGAAGATAGAACTGCATTGAAGAGCATTTCTTAAGATTGCAAGAGTGAGTTAACCAATACCTTCTTCAAAGGTGAAGAGAGGTATTTATAGGTGGAAAAATCTATCCGTTGGAGGGAGATGAAAATTTCAAACCTAAAAACCAGTGTGTATTACTCAGTGGGCAAAAGGCATTTAATGCACTTGTACTGTACAGCCGTTGGAGCCAAAAGCATTATGACTTTTGTCCATGATTTTTGACAAGATGGTACAAGCCTTTTAATGCTCATTGTCTTTAGTGAAAATCATTCCTATGACACTTTTTGTCCTAATGATTTACCCATCTGAGTGATAGACAACATTCTCATTGTTTCCTTTAATGAGAGTTGTCTTTCTACAAGTCTGTCATTGACTTGTTCACATAGGAATGAGAGAACTTAGGAATGAGAGACGAAAGATTGTCCTCATCTTTCGTCCTTTCTTCTTAAATGAAGGTTCCTTTTGTAGAAGCAGTTCATCCGAGACTTACTTTTAATCCTTCTTTCGTCTGGAAGCATCTTTCGATTATCTTTGAATCTTCATGTAGACCTAATATACTAGTCTCGTGCATGGTTTAACATCTCATACCTATGTCATACGGAACTTGTCTAATAAACGAAAAATCGGTGTCTACATTCTAAGACAGTTTGGTATCATCAAAATCTAAATTCACTTGTTCCTAACAGCATTATTTGACACTTCTATCATGGATAAATATCTTTTTATAAAGTTTAATGTGAGAAAAATCTAGCAGCTTTGGAGGGTCGTATACGCGTATTAATGATTCAGGACATAGTGAAAAAAAAAAAGAGTTCTTTATTGTTCGGGACGGATTCAAAAAATCATTTGAGTAAGGGCGAAGATTAAATGACATTAAAAATGTCAATGACAAAATATCAAACAGTCATAATAATATTAAAATACATAACACATTATAAATTACAATAAAATGTTTTTAATAGATTATATGATAGTTAGGGTCAGAGCAACAAATATGCATGAGTGAAGTGAAAATGTAAAAATATTTATGACAAAATATGAAACTTAATCAATTAGATAAAATAATTTGAATAACACTATATTCATAATTACTTTTAAATTTTAATTTGTTTTACTTAGATCGATTTTTTAAAATTAATTCGAATACAATAATGTATAATATAAACTTGTATACTACATTAATTTAATGATTCATAAAAAGTATATTAAAAGAACATTTAATTTGTTAATTACATGATTCATAAAAAAGTGGACTAAAAATATTTAATTTATCTTATGAAGAAATGAAAAAAGATAAAATAAATAAGGGAAGAAGTGTTGCTTATTATGAGGTTTGAACCTATGACATAGACTTTTTAACATCAAATCTGGAGTTTAACCAACTAAACTACTTAAAATATTGTCAATTTTAGCATAACTATAGTATTTATATAATATTTAATGCTAAATATGTATATATATATATATATATATATATATATATATATATATATATATATATATATATATATATAGAGGGGTGGGGGTGGGGGAGAGGGGTCAGCTGCCCCAATAGTGGCTCCGCCCCTGTTTACTGTATATGAAGTTAACACAAATTTCCATAACTACATTTTAAATTCAGTACTTAATACAAAATAATGTCTGATAATTTAAAATAAAATTTAAAAGTGTTTCTGATCTGTTAGATTTATTTAGATGGACGGCTGTGATGGGTTCGTATTTCTCTCCTGGTTGCAAATACTCATTCGATCCGTTTCTTTTATATATATATATATATATATATATATATATATATATATATATATATATATATATTGATGGATTTAATTAACTCGGGTGACCTGAATTAACAAATCTGACAATTAAAGAATAGAATAAATGGATAAAAGACAAGAATGTTGCTTTAAGAATTGTGTAACTGCTATTACAAGATAAATAAGTTATTGAAGATTGAAAATGATGTTGTAACAATTGTACAATGCCAATTTATAAAAAATAATTCTAACTAACTTGTTAATTTCTATTTTTTTTGTCCTAGATTTATATGTGTTATTCAATTTTTAGTCCTTATTTATTTTCAAAAGATCTGCACTGGTTCTAACATTATTGTGATATAATCATTTTTATCATTCGTCTACAAATATATTTAAATGACTTTAAAAATAATATTATGAATAGAGTCTAATTAAGGCATAGCTCACTGTTCAACAAATTTAAAATAATTTCATAAATTTTACATACCTTACTAACCGATGTTGTAAAACTCCAAACGAAATTTATATAAAACACGTACACCTGTATTAGTGAATGGGACAACACAATATTTGGACATGCATAATGGAGTATGTCCCTGTGGTTTGAATTTATAACATCACCCAATATTATATATACTTTTCATCCTGAAATTCATTATATTAATTTAAAGTTATTAAAAGTGCACCTTCTGTAGCTTAATCTTTCGTGATAATTTTACTGTAATTATACGTCGAAGAATGAAAGACAAAAAAAAAAAAATAGAATGGGAAAGAACATTGGAAAATACAAGAACTACATTCTCATTAATAAATAGAAATGGAAAACCCACATACAACTAACACTAAAATATGAAAAACTGGGACAACGACCATACATCTTATAATTATGCGTATTTCATATTTAATTTTATTCAAACAAAATAAGTCTAATTGGATCGCACAATATAATATTATTGGTAGCACGTAGTATAGTTTTGGCCTGGGTGTCAAGCTCCCTGCTCCCAAACTCAAAACTTAGGTCACGTGCTTGACATTTTCCTTGTGGTTTAAGCTCACATGCTGCAATAAAATGATTTGTGAAACACAAGCTATGATGTCTTCAAATGCACAATAACACACACATAAATTTATAAATGGCTACGCAAAAAGATTGCACACATGTGGGCAACAAAAAAATGCCCACATATGCAATAAAAGAATGCACAAATGGGCAACAAACGAATGCTCACGAGCGTTTGTTGGAGCACAAATTGTGTTGTCTAACAATGCACAATAACACACACAGAGCCCTGTAAATGGCTACACAGAAAGAAAACAGTGATCAAATGCGTAGGTTTTGTGCTTAATGTGCGTCGTGTTTCTTCTTCGCGCACATTCTCTGTGAGACAAAATTTTTGAACAGATGGATGGTTTAGACCCTCAAGAAGAACAAAACTTTTGAAATGCACAAATACACGAATAGTGTTAGGAAAAAGCACAACAATGAAAATCACAAATACACCAAAAAAACACACAACACACTAAAAAAATACACCATATAACTCACCACACCCAATGGTGTATTTCCGAACACTGTGTGGTGCTTTTATTCATACCTAATTGTGCGTTTTGGTGATGCGTACCTAATTTGTGCATGTTTTTTTGGTGTGCATTTTCTAACATGGATGATGTATATTTGTATAACTATTAGTGCGGCCGCACCTAACAACGTTGCCGCACGTGAACTTACACACACACACACACACACACACACACACACACACACACACACACACACACACACATATATATATATATATATATATATATATATATATATATATATATATATATATATATATATATATATATATATATGAACAAGTAAAACTACTTTTAGTCTTAAAAAAAAAAACATTCTCATTTAGTCCTAGTATTATTATGACTTGATCATTTTTAGTCTTGCATAAAAAAAAAAAAAAAAAAAAATCGTTCAAATAACATTGCATACACACAACTACACAAGGTCATTTTGATCTATTCAATTTTAAGGATTAAGTCTTTTTCCTTTTTTTTGGTTTTAAATTTATATGTATGTGTCATTCAACTTTTAGTCCCTTTTTATTTTCAAAACATCTATATTGGTCATAACATTATTGTCACATGACTATTTTTAAGTCGTCTATCAACAAATATATTTAAATTATATTTAAAATGATGATATAAATAGAGTATGAGGCATAGCTCAATTTTTGAACCAATTTAAAATAATTTTATAAATTTTACATCTTAAATACTAGCCGATGTAGTAAAACTCCAAACGAAATTTATATAAAACACGCACACCTGTATTAGTGAATGGGACAACACAATATTTGGACATGCATAATGGAGTATGTTCCTGTGGTTTGAATTTATAACATCACCCAATATTATATATGCTTTTCATCGAGAAATTCACTAATTTAAAATTGTTAAAAGTGCACCTTCTGTAGCTTAATATTTGGTGATAATTTTACTGTAATTATACGTTGAAGAATGAAAGACAAAAAAATAGAATGGGAAAGAACACTGGAAAATGCAAGAACAACATTCTCATTAATACAATACTAAAGTATGAAAAACTGGGACAACGACCATACATCTTATAATTATACGTCATTGCTGAAAATTATGAAATTTCCGACCACCTGAGAGTGATCTTAAATCAAGTCGAAAGCAAAAAGTGGCCGAAAATAGCAATAAAGGTTTTTCCGAATACCAAAAGTGATCGAAACAAGGCTTTCGACTTGATTTAAGATTATTTTCAGATGGTCGGAAATTCCATAATTTCGCGTATTTCATATTTAATTTTATTCAAATTACAATATAGTAATATAATATTATTGGTAGCACTGCACTATAGTTTTGGCCTGGGTGTCAAGCTCCCTGCTCCCATATATATATCATCATCTTCTTCACGCATGTTAATCCAAGCTTCAATCCCATCCCCACATTTGGTGCTCATAAATATAACGAAATTCTTGTAGGGAAGAGTTGTTATGCACGCCCAAACAGGCCTTCCCCAACCGAAATCTACCTCGTATAATGGAAACCTGCACACGCTAGAAAATTCCAAGAACTCATTAACTGCTTCCCCTTCGAGGCTGAAACGTTCATGCATTTTACGGAGATGTTCCAATTGCCCTGTCTCGTCCTGCAAAGCTTCCGCGTATTCCGCGTTGATTTCTCTTATGGAAGTTCTCAGTTGAAACACCAGGTCGTCGTTCTCGTCTGGGCTTGTTGTAGTATTTGCGAGATTCCATAGATTCCCGAACGTCGCATCCGGGAGCGGCGGATTCATCCTCGCACGGAGGTTCACATTCTGGGTGGCCCGGAATGATTTCTTCACGGCGCCGTGTTGGGATTTTTTTCTACTAGCCTCCCTGAAATTAGACATTTTAATTAAAAAAAAAAAATCATGAGTGTTTTTAAAAAGAGAAAATACCAAGTTTGGTCTTACCAGTAATAACAAAATGACAGATTTGATTCACATGTTTAATTCGTATCAATTTTCATCCACGACTATCGTTTTAGTGTCAAAATTCATCACATTGGTAACCCCTTCGTTTAAGACATGTCGAAATTTAAAAATTTTAAGGGTATTTTCGTCTTTTTCAACTTAAGATCCGAATTTGAGCATGAATAAAGGGAATTTAAGCACTAAGATCGATCTCAATTCGTAGTTTTCCTCATCATCTTATCTTAATTTGAGGAGAATTATGAATTGTGATCGATCTTAGGGCTTAAATCGCTTTATTCATGTTCAAATTGGGATCTTAATTTGAAAAGGGCAAAAATACCCTTAATAATTTCATATTTTCGTATGTCTACTTTTAAACGAATGGGTGACCGACGTAATGAATGTGGACACTAAAATAATAGTTATGAATGAAAATTTGTATGAATTAACATCTGGACCAAAATTGTCATTTTGTTAATATTCGTGAAACCAAATCTTTTAAAAAAGATAAACTCCGGCCAATACCTGAACTGCTTCCACATGAATGCGGAGAGGGCCTCCACGCGAGTGGGGTTTCCCACTCTCGACGACTCGGCCGCCGCAGATTTCTTCAGAGCTGCCAGCTTTTCTTTGTCGAACACCACGCGCCGGGTGACGATCTTTTCCCTCGCAACGCCAAGGGTCGGCGAGAATCCAAACTGGGACAGGTCCATCGTCGTCGGCGGGAAGAGAGACGAAACCAACCCGAAATTGGGCGGCGGGATTTTCCCGGCGGCGGCGTCTCCTTCTCGGGCGGTGACAGCCCATGCATTGACAAAGTTGATCAGAGAGAGTCCATCGCCGATCTTGTGCGACACGCAAACCGCGACGGCTATTCCGCCGTCAAGAAAATAATTTACTCGAACACCAAGCAATAACTCACTATCATTATTACCATTATTTTGAGTCTCTATGGGAAGAAACTTTTCCAATTCCTCCATTAATGGATTTCCAACCACATCTTTGAGGAAGCCATGAACGCGAGCTTCAACCCACAGCGCGCCATCATCACTACAATCAATGAAATCGTTTCCTTTGATCCGTCCAGCTAAGGGATAAAACAGGGTCAAGACCTTCGATAAAGATTGCTTCAGCAGTTGTGATGAATCTGCAGTAGCATGATTGAAGAAAAAGATGTAATTCTGGAAAATGGGTGGCGAGGTTTGATCAATAAAGGATAGTTTGAGGGTTTTGAGGTGAGGTGGAGTTGGTGATGATGGCTTGATCATCATCTCTTCGGAAAGTAATTCCACTTTCAACACCATCATCAAAAGTCTAAACTTTCTTTAATTTGTATGGTTGATTGGTAGCAACTTTAATTTGGTGCACACAAATATATGACGCTTTGTTGTGTTGTGTTGTGTTGTGTTTATATAGAGCGAGTAGGGAGATGTAATAATGATATGATAATGCTGATGTTACAACTACAAAAACTATATATAATATATAATATTTGAGTAACTCTCATCTTAGACTGTCTTAAGGATTATTCGTAAAATAGGTCGGTCAAAATAAAGAATATAATACTGTCGAAGTCACTGCAATTAGTGAATATTTTCTTAGAGTTCGAAAGGAGATTAATAAATTTTTTTTTTAAAGAAAAAAGAGCTTAAATGATAGGAATAAACTTAAAATTATGATTCTTTTACCCTTTCTTCAAACAAGACATAGACTCTTACAGGGCGTTTGGTTGGAGGGGGGAATTATGTAGGAAATGAATTGTAATTCCATGGGAGTTGAATTACTGAGAATAAAGTGAGAATTTAAATTCTAGTGTTTGGTTGACAGGAATAGAATTACTGGGAATTTCAATTTCCATGTTTGGTATACATGGGAATTGAAAGGGAATAAGTAGTATAATGTCAAAAATGTCCATTATTGTTGTTAGACATTAATTTTAGGTTAAAAAATGAAGAGGTAATTTTGACTCATCACTATTATTTTTTCCCAGGAATTAAAATCACAGGGGGGGGACATGAGATTTTAAATCCATGATCGCGAAAATGGGGAAATTGCAATTCCCTCCAACCAAACTACGGAATTTAATGGCATTTGGAATTAGGTGAGAATTAAGTGGGAAGGGAATTTAAAATCCCTCCAACCAAACGCCCTGTTAATATTTCACTGAGTATATTCGGTTACTTTTTTTTTTTTGAGTACTACTAACTCTGTTAGAATTTACAATGTAGTACTATTCATATATTCCATTACTTTTAAATAACTTTCAAATCAGATTTAGATTTAGATTCAGATTAAATGTAAACAATAATTGTCAAGCACTTTGTGCTCAGATGACATATAGTGATCTTTCCCTATGTTTAAACAGATACTATAATGTAATAGAGTCAGTAGCATTAAAATATATATATATATATATATATATATATATATATATATATATAAACAATTATTAATTATGTGAACGTGGATGCTGGACTAAAATCAAAATATTCTGATTTGGTTTCCAAATAAATTATTTTTCTTTATGGACTACACTACATATTGGCTAGATTGTGAGGATATACTTTATTAATATTATAATTAAAACCCTCATTTTGTGGATCGAGAGCTCATGCAGGCACGCTAGTGGACACAGGCCAGGTGAACACCAACCGATACAATAAGATTTATTTATTTTTCTCTGTCACAATATAATATTATATTGTTTACACATACTTTCTTAACTTACTAAAGTATAAAAAGTCAATACCATATACTAGGATTCTAATCATTTAAGGAAATGATAATTATACCCCTCGATCACAAAGTCTTTGGCCAATAAAATTTAATTAATTAATTATTTATTTATTTATATAAAATGTTGTATTTGAGCATGTGATCGGTTGGTGCGCCCAGTGCGGTGAAAGGAGAGTCATTGATATTGCTTAAATCAACGTTTAGGATTACCAAAATTAAAAAAAAAAATGCAGTAGCAATTTGGTAATTTTTGCATCTAAGTCAAATTTAAGGTGTTTGGTTTTTGTGCTTAAGTGCGTAGGTTTTCTGCTTAATGTGAGTAGTTGAAACTTAAGGTGCGTGATATTTTGTTTCTTATGGTGTGTTGTTTTCCTTCTTAAGGTTTGTGATTTGTATGCTTAAGGTGCGTCAGTTGTGTGAAACTTAAGGTGAACCATTTTAAAACCTTAGGTGCGTGATTTGTGTTCTTAAGGTGCTTTGTTGTGTGCTTAAGGTGCGTCAACCACACAACTGCACGGGAACACTTACCCGCACTTGATGGAAAAGGTATACACTGGATGACGTGGGACAAGTTATGCGCCCCAAAGAAAGTAGGTAGATTAGGGTTTAAGGACCTTTGTGCATTTAATGTTAGGTAAGCATGCTTGGAGGTTCCTCACAAATCCACAATCTCTGGTGTCCCGTCCCAGATTTTATAAGACAAGATATTTTCCTAAAGCTTTTTTTAATTTATCGATGCTACATTAGGTAACTGCCTAATATAAGTTTCGAATGGAGAAGTATTATTGCTGCTCATGAGATAATTTGCAGGGTTGTTAGGAGCAAGTTTGGAAACGGGCCGGGGACTCCACATTAATATGGGTGGCCCGGAACGTTTTCTTCACGGAACCGTGTTGGAATTTTTTTCTGCTGGCCTCCCTGAAATTAAAGATATGTGGAAATTAGTATTTTCGAATTTCGAAGGTCTAAAAGATTGTTAGGCCATGCTTGCATGGTTCTTATTCATGGAAATCAGAATCAAACTAAGCTTTTACCAGTAGTTCTGTTCAACACGAGATTTACGTTCTGGTTGAGCTCATCTTATGACACGTGTTATCTTTTAACAAATGTGTCACCCCAACCAACCTGAACCCCAGCAAGCTTTGGATTCAAAAAGAGAGGCAATGCCCTGCCTCTGATTCACAAAATAAATAAAATAATATGTAGTGCTATTTGACTTTAGCCTTTCGGCTCCTACTTAGTGTATACCTCACAAGTCATTTCACAAAATCTGAGTCAAGCTCAATAGGCATCATACCTGAAATGCTTCCACAAGAAGGCGGAGACGGCCTCCACGCAAGTGGGGTCTCCCACTCTCGATGACTCGGCCTCCGCAGATTTCTTTAGAGCTGCCAGGTTTTCTTTGTTGAACACGACGCGCCTGGTTACCACCTTTTCCCTCGTCGCCACGCCAAGGGTCGCCGAGAATTCAGACCCGGTTAAGTCCATCGTCGTTGGCGGGAAAAGAGACGGCACCAACCCAAAATTGGGCGGCAAGATCTCGGCGGCGTCTCCTTCGCGGGCGATGAGAGCCCATGCATTGACAAAGTTGACCATAGAGAGTGCATCAGCGATCTTGTGCGGCACGCAAACCCCGACGGCTATTCCGCCGTCAAGAAAATAATTTACTTGAACACCAAGCAATGGTCCCAAAATGGTCCCTCGACTATAGCTAAATTCACAAATTGGTCCTCGACTTTCAATTTCAACCAATTAAGTCCTTAACTTTGTAATTTTGACACGATTTGGTCCTCCATCTATTTGACCGTTTGTTGACCATGATCGATGATCTCCAGAAGAACCTTCAGCTCTCGTCGAAGCACGTGGAGGCCTCCAGGATGACGTTGCACTGGTTCAGAAACACGTCGTCTTCTTCGCTCTGGTACGAACTCAACTACATTGAATTCAAAGGGAGGGTGAAGAAAGGCGATCGGATTTGGTAGATTGCTTTCGGCAGTGGATTCAAATGTAACAGTGCGGTCTGGAAATGCAACCAGAACCTTAAAAAACCGACGATGGACCATGAAATTACATATATATCCTCAAAAATCACAATCAACAAACGGTCAAATAGACAAAGGACCATATTGTGTTAAAATTACAAAGTTAAGGACTTAATTGGTTGAAATTGAAAGTCAAGAACTAATTTATGAATTTAGCTATATGTGAGGGACCATTTTGGGTATTTACTCTTTTTTTTAAACAAAACTTAAACCATAGGAATAAACTTAAAACTATGATTCTTTTTCCCTTTCTTCAAACAAGACATAGGCTCTTAATATTTCACCGAGTATATTCCGTTACTTTCATTTTTTGTTTGAGTATTACTCACTCTGTTACGACTTACAACGTATTATCTGTTCACATATTTAGTTACTTTTAAATAACTTTTAAATCAGATTAAGATTTAGATTAAATATAAACAATGACTAATTATTTAATTATGTGAACGTGGATGCTGGACTAAAATCCAAATATCCTGTTTGGTTTCCAAATAAATTATTTTTCTTTATGAACTACATCACTACATATTGAGGATATAGTGATGACAGGTGACAACTTCAAAAATTAGTTACTAATTTCAGTAGTGATCAAAATTGATAGTTTTGGTGATAACTTCTATTATCACTAAATGTGAAATTTCTTGTAGTGTTAAGAAAGAAAACAAGACACCTAAAACTCTAGACCGACGTACCTTAAGAATGAAAACAACGCGCCTTAAAAATGAAAATGATGAACCTTAAATTTTAGGCCGATACACATTAAATTTTAACAACTAACACACCTTAAGCACATAAACTACACGTACCTTATTTCTTCATATAGGACATAGGCTCTTAATATTTCACTAGATATAAATTTAGATTAAATATAAACAATGACTAACTATTTAATTATGTGAACGGCAAGCACATTGGACACAGATAACATATAATGGGACCTCTAAATAATTGTGCAGAAACTATGATGCAATAGAGTTAGTAATTCAAAAAAATTTAATAACGTGAATGCTGCGCTGGACTAAAATCCTAATATTCTGATTTGGTTTTCAAATAAATTATTTTTCTTTATGGACTACACTACATATTGGCAGGCTTGTGGGAATGTGCTATATATTGTAACTTTATTAAAATTATTAATTAAAACCCTCGTGCTCGACGTGCTGCATCGAGAATTAAATATATTGGGGAAAGAGAATTAAATATATAAATAAAAAATTGAAATCTCACAATCGAACACAAAAGTCAAAAGAGCACATGGAGGCACGCTAGTGGAGACAGGTGATGAACAACAACCGATACAATTAGAGCCGTAAAAAATGAATTTTACCCGCCGGGTCGACCCGTTTCGTACCGTCGTAGGTAGGGAACGGGTTCTTCAAATTTTGATCTGCCAGGAGGCGGGCTTTTTAGCCCGTCCCGCCTAGGTCACAGGTCCAGGCGGGGCAGGGCAGGCGGGTCACGGTTTTAGCCCGCGACCTGCTAATACATATATATATATATATATTTTGTATATATATATATATTTA